GCCGTCGGTAGCTGCTAGCCGTTAGCTGTCGTGGTTAGCTGTTAGCCGGTGTCGACGGCCACTAGCTGTAAGCCGGTAGCCGTCAGTCGATGTCGTTGGCCCCGGAGCCTCTGCTAGGCGGCGTGCCCCTACCAGGGAAGGTGCCGCTGCGTGTAGTGGCCAGCACCTCAGGGGTAAATCGCCGGGCGGCCAGGAAGAACCGGTCAGCCTCTTCGGGTAAAGCGCGGGGCTCCACGCTAGCCGTGTTAGGGAGCGCAGCCTGGACATGCAGCCGCATGTCCTGGAGAAACAGCACCATGAAAAAAAAATCAGGCTCTTCCGTACCTAGCAGGTCGTGTATCGTCTCCATGCGAGTGACGTCCCCGGCCATTCCGCGGAGGGCGCACTGAGCCTCAATCTGTGTGCACGTGGCAGCCACGGACTCCTCCAAAAATCTCCGGCAGGTTGCGAAAAACGGCGTTTCTAGCCATGTTCGGTCCAGTCTCGGAAACTTCAGCGAGACCTATGTCGGGGTCACCAGTGTAGTGCCGAGAGATGAGAGTCGGAGGCGGTGCATCGAAGGTGCAAAGTTTACTTTATTGAGCAGCAGAAAAGCACATGTTGCTGGCTTGAAGACCAGGAAGAGAAGGGAAGAAGAGAAAGGAGGGCACACAGTAGGTATACAGTAGGTACAGTCAACATATGTGTCTGTGCGGAAACAATACCCCCAACCCGTAGTTCCATGAGTGAATTATGTAACATGAGTAAATTAGTGATCACTACAAGGTGCACTTTAACCTGTTCAACCCGGAGGCCCCCGCCCGCGGGTTTTTTTTTCTCCACGAAACTGTGTCTCAGGGCTTCTTAACATTTAAAAACCTATTAATGTGTCATACCAATTTAACTGGAAGAAACTCAGCTAACTGACGATACGAACCATTTTTACCGAAACAAAACACAAGTCTCACAAGAAGCGTCTAAATGAGCCCTGAGCGAAAAAATGCTAACACACTTAGCACAGAACTCTAGGTATAAATACCCTTCTTACATATCGGATCTGCACAAACAAGATATTGATTAGCAAGCTGAGATTCCACAGATTCTAGGGGTATAAGTATCATCACTTAGCGAGCTGAACTCGCGACAGGGGAAGCGAACACAGACATCATAACACGGAGCTTTACGGAGCAAAAACAGGACATTGTCTTACCTTAGCTGTTGTTCTGATCAAAAGTTGTGTTCAATGGCATTAAAACGATAAAAACGCTGCTGAAGGTTAATCCATAGGTTAATCCAATGTGTCTGTGTCACTTTGAAATGATTACTGATAATCCATCGTCATATTTATGGCAAAAACTGAGTTTTCATATATAGCTATTATGATAGCTACGAGAGTGTATGACAGCTTCCGGTTTTGGGCATTCTGGCTGCGCATCACTCTATTCACCAATGGGTAATGTTTAGATGGATTTTAGGAACTTCCCCTCGATTCTATTGGCTCTAACGGTTAAAAAGAGATGTCAATCATCAAAATCGACCGATGGGTTCCAGAGATATGGAAAATCCACCTAAATGACCCCAGAAGTGTTTTTTTTCTTCTAAATCTCTCTAAAAAGGTCAAATTTAACTTGTTTTGCATTAATCTTGATACAGGGTACTTATTATATGTTATAGTTTGGATTCCTAAAGCTTTTAGTCTACTATCCCATCATTCAAGGGTGGTTTTCACTATAAGTAATATTTTTATTTGGACGGACACTATAATTTTTTTTTTTTTACTATGTTCAATCTGAATTTACTTTAAAATAAAACAATTCTACATTGATTCTGACTTTTCTACATCCAACTCACAGGTTTATCATTGCTTTGAGAAAAAAGATTATTAATTTACCCCTTTTAGAAGTGAAGTTATAGTCATTTGTTCTGGGAATGTCCTTTTCGAGCCTGAGACCTGAAAAACAGGCTCAGGGCTTAACAGGTTAAATGATTATCACCATCAATTAACAACTATTTAAAAAACTTGAATTATTTTTGTAATTGTTCGTGTACATATTTCATGCTGACTCAAAATGTTGGGATTTTCTTCAGTTCATATGAGCTTTCTTTTAGGTTTGAACTTTAGGTCTGAGAAAACTAGTACATACTAGTACAAATGTACATTCTCAAAATATTGAAGTGACTGTTATTGATTGTTGTGTTTGTATTTAGGTCTTAATGTGTGTGTAACCGGTCTGGTTTGACGCCACATGTATCTCTGCGTTGTGTTGTGTGATCGGATGCAAACGACTTCCTTCTTGCCAACCAGGTTTATTATCTGTGCAAACAGAATATAATGACAGCAGGAAATGGCTTCACCAGCTTTCTACCTCAATACTTCTCCTCAGTGAGGCCTGAAGCTAACTCAGAAAGCATACACAGAGTTCTAAATAATTAAATTAACATGTTCCTTTAACAGATATACATTTATCCATGGTGGCAAATTCGGTTTTTCTTTGTAAATTAATAGATACAAATATAACCATTAATTTACACTTGCAAAACAAACAATACAATTTACAAAACACAAAAAGAATACCCACATACCTGTCCAAACAGAATACAATGACAGCAGGAAATGGCTTCACCAGCTTTCTACCTCAATACCTTCAGTGGAAGAAAACACCCACATGTTAGGTTAGCATAGCTAAACTTTAGAAAGCTCACAAACACAGTTTGAAGCGCTGCACATTATATAAACTACAGTTACACACGGCAAAATATAGACATTAACCGCAAACAAGTTTGACTTGTGTGAAGTGTAACATTAAACAATCTATTAACATATTAAATACAACATTTATGACACCACTCGTTCCACTTACTTCTCCTCATTAGGCCTGAAGCTAACTGAAGAAAGTAGCGCGAGTCTGCAGAAATGTGCCAGTGCCAAGAGTACCAAAATAAAACTTACCTTTCAAAATAAATATATATATATATATTTGCACACATATTTTATTTTTATATACATTTGTTTTTTATATTCGGGATTGTGGGAAACGGTATAGATGAGAGTAACACATGCGTCACTTCCGGGCAAAAAGTACGGCTCCGCCCACTTTTGGAGGAAAACAACGCAGTCATTTGAATATAATATCAATACAATACAAATTCTGAAGTTTTTGCCAATCCGATCAGAAATTTAAGAAAACCGTGGATTTTTGGATCTTCAAAGAGCCCGATTACAATGGCCAGTCAGGCAAACAATTACATTAAGCCATTGGAAATCCAAGATCGGGCTCGATATATGGTTAAATATAGCAGTAGGCAATCGATGTCCATAGATGAGAGTAACGGACCGTCCACACAGCAGCGTTAAAAAATCTTGAAACGCTTCTGCCCATTCACTTTGAATGGGGTGACGTCACTTTCCCTCACTTTTCGCCGAACTGCATTGTGGGCAGGCGAGCGGAGATTTTCAGGATTTTCAGGATTCAAAGTTGAGCAATGTTCAACTTTTGAGGCTGAGGTGGAAGCGTCAGCCAATCAAATCCCATGTACGCAAATCTGACAGTTCAAGCGCTAGCCAATCAAACCGCGTGTATGCTGGGAGAGACATACCGCAGGTCATTTCCTCATATTCCAAAAAATGGAGGAGAAATTAGCGGTAGGGAATCACCCGGTGCTTTATGACCAGTCCCTATTTACCTACCGGGATATAAACCGGAGGAGCCAGGCATGGAGGGAGGTGGCAGAGACAGTGGTAGGTTTTCGCCTGTTTGGGGAGTTTATATCCAGTTTACTTCGGGCTTTTTTGCTTCGTATATCGCGGGCGGGAGATTCATGTGATTGGTTGTTGGTGCCTTGCTCGCAAAAAATCCTCAAGCTTCAGATACGCCCACCTCCAAGATTTTTTTAACGCTGCTGTGTGGACGGGCCGTAACATCTACGTCACTTTACGGCCCCGCCCACTTTTGGGGGAAACCAACGCTGTCATTTGAATGGCGATCGAGCCTGAAGCCACAGAGCTCTTCTTTTACTGTCCTTTGTTCTTAGAGGAAGTACAGAAACACTGAACTCTGGATTTGTTTTAATGTTTGAGGTGCAATAAACGACACAGCAGCTTTTTGGCATGATAAAACAATTATTTTCCGCCTCGCTCATGAGAGTAACTGCTGGCAGAAATTACAGCCTCGCCTACTGATTTTAATTTAACCATATATCGAGCCCGATTGTCGATTTCAAATGATTTAATGTAATTGTTTGCCTGACTGGCCATCGTAATCGGGCTCTTTGAAGATCCAAAAATCCACGGTTTTCTTAAATTTCTGATCGGATTGGCAAAAACTTCAGAATTTGTATTGACCGCCATTCAAATGACAGCGTTGTTTTCCCCCAAAAGTGGGCGGGGCCGTCATTTTCGCCCGGAAGTGACGTAGGTGTTACTCTCATCTATTTCGATCTCTCACACAAACTGGAAGATTGACAATAAAGTTGACTTTGACTTTGAACTATGATATAGTGGAACAATTATTCAGATTCTATACTTCAAATACCACACTATAAAACTACTCAATATTAGGTAAAACTACTGCATCAAGAATGGTACTTAACAATTGAACTAAAAGTTAATACATAAAAAGTTTTTATTAGGAAAATGTACTTATTAGGAGTAAAAGTACTCATTGCAAAAGAAACAGCTGTCAATTAATTTTGTGAAACCACTTATGGTATAGTTACTTAAATATAATGCTGGATGGTTCAATCTATACTAAATAATCATATTTTCAAAAAATTTCCTAGGTATTGTGTGTCAAAATCTGAATTCATAAAGTAACTACTAAACCAATCTAAAAAAATAAATGTAAGTATAGTACTTGAGTAATGCGAGTATGTACTTTCCACCTCTGATGATAAATAAGCTATCATTAGATAGATGACATTTCTCTGCACTGGCTTTAAGGATATTTGTCTAATGTTCACTAACTGTGAGACCTTAACATGGATGGTACATGTAATGAGTGTGTGACTTGTTCCACCCATAGGTGTAGAATGGGGACTCCATTTCCCAGCAGCCAACGGCGAGTACCAGTCTCCCATCAACCTGAACTCCAGGGAGGCTCAGTACGACCCATCCCTCCTGGATGTCGGCTTATCACCAAACTATGTGGTTTGTCGAGACTGTGAGGTAATCAACGATGGACACTCAGTCCGCATCATTCTCAAGTCCAAGTCAGGTGAGTCACATGACAACAGATCTACTCATTCATGTGTTACAGAAGTGATGAGGAGGCATGATGCATGTTGAGTGAGAGCTCTCAGTCATTGTGACCACACTGGAAAACTGAAACGTTGACTTTAATTAAAGGTCCCATGACATGGCCATTTCTACTGATCATAATTCCATTGTTGAGGTGTTGAGGTCTACTAGAATAGATTTACATTGTTCAATGTTCCAAAATCACAATGGTTTTCTCATACAGCATCTCTGTATAGTATGTGTATTCACTCTCTGACCTACACGCCTTGTTGGAGCTCCTGCCCCCCCCCCCCCCCTATGAGCCCACTGTGCTCTGATTGGTCAGCTCGCCCACTCTGTTCTGATTAGTAAACCACCATTAAAGCTGGTCATCAGTGTTTATGTGTTACAATGGCGTTTGTTAGCAACCAGGAAATGACACCAGTAAGGACTAACAGATGAGAATGCTGTGTGGGGTCTGGGTGCTGTGTTGGCGGGACGTTGCGGGGCTCGCTGCTCTGCCCTTTGAGGCTTGAGGAGCGGACAGTGTGAGCTGGATTACTGGTGTCGTTTCCTGGTTGCTGCGTGGGGTCTGCGAGACAGAAGATTATTGATTGATGTGGTGGGGCAGCCTGTTAAAAGGGAGTAATCCAGCCTGGATATTATAAAAGCATGAAGGAGTTTCTCTGCATCGGTTTGAGTCAGGATGTGATATGTGATCTTTGTGATATTGTGGAGATGAAAGAAGACAGTCCGTGAAACATGCTTTATATGTGATATAAAGGACAAATCCTCGTCAAAGATAATGCCAATATTTTTCACTGTGGAGCTGGGTGTAGCTATGTTAATTGATGCTTCATTCCAGATTTCACTTCAGTTTTGTCAGTGTTTAATAATGAATAGTTGCAGGTCATCCATGCTTTTAGACCTGACAGGCATTCTTGTCGTTTTGATCATTTAAACTGTTCATCTGTCTTGAAAGATAGGTACAGCTGTGTATCGTCAGCATAACAATGAACATTAATTGAATATTTCCTTTTAATATTGCCCAATGGCAACATATATAGAGAACACAATGGTTCCAAGGACAGAACCTTGCGGCACTCCATGATTGAGTGTGGTTTTCATTGAGGATTCATCATGCGCAGATACAAACAGAAGCCGTTCTGAGAGATATGACCTAAACCAGTTTAGTGCAGTACCCTTTTAGCCAATTGACTGTTCTAATCTCTGTAGTAAGATGTTGTGGTCAATGGTATCTAAAGCAGCACTCAGGTCTAACAGTACCAAGATCGAACAAAGTCATTTTTCAGATACAATGAGAAGGTCATTTGTGACTTTCACTAGTGCTGTCTCTGTGCTGTGATGGATTCTAAAGCCTTATTGACATTTCTCAGGTAATTGATTCTTATGTATGTATTCGCACAGCTGTTGGGGCTACTGCTTTCTCAACGATTTTAGAGATTAAAGGTAGGGTAGGTAAGTTTGAGAAACCGGCTCGAGATCGCTAGAATTTGAAAATACACAACCGGAGAAAATCTGCCACTTCCTTATAGAGCCCCTCCTGCAACACACACGAACGCGCACATGACCAATGAGGGCACGAGATAAGTTTGTGCACAGATGGAAGGCTGACAGGCAGGTAGGCCATCCAGTTACTTTAGCCGGGCTGGCTAAAATGATTGGTCGTGCTTTTTACAGTACTACGGCTTCCACAGATGACATTTTTGAATGGATTTTTTGTCAAAGCACTTAAGATATTCATTGCTATCGGGATGTTAAGAGCATTCCATGGAATATAACAAAAAGTGTATCTCGAGCCGGTTTCTCAAACGTACCTACCCTACCTTTAAGGGGAGGTTAGATATTGGTCTACAGATGTAGCAGCTTATTTTGGACAGTTTGAAACGCGAGGGCCGTGGTCGGCCCGTGATCGGCTCGTGATCTGCCCGCGATGAGAGACAGCCTCCAGTCTGACTTGAGACCGCCCCCGTGATAAATACATTTAATTATTGTGAAGCCAGCTGCAATGGATCATTGATCCACCAGGGGGTGCAGTGGGGTTCCACACTGGAGCTCATGTGAAATCAACTTCGATACAGTACGCTGGATGTACAGTATGTCTGGTACTACTGTATAGCGGATCTTTGTTAAGATCCATATGTCACGGATAGGATCATAGTCTGTGCTAAATAAGAGACATGTAATCATTTACAAAACATCACCATGTTGTTATTTAACAAAATAATGTTGTTTAGTCGAAAAAAACGAACGAGAGGAAATGCAGCCGGCTCTCAATTTTTAATCCTAATTTAATCATCATCTTCACCACGATCATTTATGTTTATGTTCGCCGAATTGACATGAAATCACTGACAAATATGAATATACTGTATTCAACTTCATTAAAACGTTATTAACGTGCCTAAACTCAGTAATTCACTAAAAATATTTATATTTTAATGGAGTCTTGTCAGGCAGGTCAGGATCCCGACGCGTATCCCATGGTGTTATTTTTCCCCATAATGACCAAGTCGCTGCAAATTATCCCGCTTATTACATGGCCACATTCTCAACAAAGTAACGACATGACTCCCAATATTAATTGAAATGCTTTTATGGATTTAGAAAATGTTTTTATTGATTTAAAAAATAGTTGTATGTATTGATTTAAATTGACATGCATCCGCTAAGAAAAATAGTCCGTTGTTACCGTTTTTTAAACAGTCAGAATGAAACGGCAGCTCTCAGCTGTGTGTTTACACACCTAATGGCCCATCAGCCACAGCTCTCTCCCCCCCCCCTGATCTTTCTTCTCCAGCAGTTAAGTTAACTGTAGGTTACTCTGAGTGACAAGCTTACAGTTAGTGAAGTAACATTTTTTTTTTGTGAGTCACGACCTGGCTGTTTCATTCAAACATAACGCTCCAAATGCTACTGTTTCCACTCGGACTTCAATACAACTACACCATTGTTTGGTTTCCATGGTAGCGCGTCTCTTTAGTAGCGCGCACTCCTTTCCTGTAAATTACAGGTCCAGCCAGGCAAAACAGTGCACTTCTCTTTCCCGCACTACTGTGACAGACCATGGGGCTGGGTCAGCCACTAACATATTCATATTTCTCTTCTCAAAAAGAGAAATATGAACGTTAGTTTTTATCTGAAATGATCAAATAATGTCACAGTGTTTACAAACATTGACCATACCGTTCACCAGCCCCCACCCCCCTGCCTACTGTAGGCCTATGTTGAGTATACTCTTTGTTTAAAACTAATTTGCCATCGGAATGTGTGTGTCCCAACCCCCCCCTGTGATATCTCTTCTCCAGCAGTCTGTAGGTTTGTGTTCGCATATTTATGCTGTCGCAGTTCCTAAATGACACGTTTACACCTTAAAACGATGTTTAAAACGAAAAGTAAACGTTCAGGGTTTTTATTAATGGTAATTTTCAGACTGTGTGTTGTTTAGTGGTAGCTCATATAGTCTTGATTCTTGTGGTTAAACTTTTCGCCCCGTATTTGATGGTAGTGGTGTCGAAATTCATTCGTCACTTCCTTTTCAGTTTTTGTTTTTTTTAATCTTTTTTTTTTGTTATTATTGTTACGTCCTGTCTGTATACACGTGCTTTAAAATGTATTGTTTAATTCTACATATTTGTCATATAATAATCAAAATATATGTTTACATAGTCTTTGTCAGCATATTTTTGCCACGTTATGCACCCCTTGCTATCTTACATAATAAAAGTGTCACATTCATGAAACTTGCTCCATTCATTGGTACTAGTCCTACAACTATACCCTAAAAAATGCTTGAGGGTGGGATTAATACAAACATCTTTTTGGGTGGGGTGCATTTTATGACAGGCCTGGTTATCACAATATGCCCCCCCTTGCTATCTTACAAAATAAAAGTGTCCCAGATTGATGCATTTAACTTCAATATAAAGAAAAACATCTTCTGTTGTAACAACAATAACATTATAAATCAGTGTTACTGACCTGAGATGTTTTCATTACATGAATTAAGGTGACTGAGGCTTTTTAACATAGACTTTTCAGTGTCCCACATTTTGCACAGAACTGTCCCACATTAAGAAATGCAGATTGTCTGAGACAACTTGGCACTAAGGCGTTGTGCACACGGGAACGTTTGCGTTTATGCACAGTATGCGCTTTCAAAAAAGTCTTCCGTTCACATGCATTTGTTTCATTTAACGTGTCTGTTCAAACGAGACCGCTGGAAATGCTGTAGTACATATGCCAGGACTGTAAGTGGCGCTGTAACTTCCGCCAAAATACACCAAAAGCAGCGAAGAAGACCCCGGAGCAGCCCCGCAGCAATGTTGCCATGGCTACCCTTCTGTTTATGCCCCGCAGTGGATTTAGCAACATGTAGTAGTTAATGTAATTCTCCATGTCCACTTGTTGCTGATGGTTGTGGTAGAGGAGCTGTAGATGTTGTACTAACATCTGTAGCATGGTCAGTAGCAGTAGCACTAGCAGTAGCTACTGACAGTAGCTACTGGCCATGCTACAGCAGTGAGCAGGAGAGGTGAGGCTATCGTTATTTTGTGTGTGGCGATTGCTGGTATTCAGCGGGATATAGTAATTTCCTCAGCATGTAAATATATGGATAAATGCAACGGGGAAGTTAACTGAAAGAAACCGAATCTGTGGATATTGCATCGACCGACCAAGAAGCACGTCTCCGTGGAGAGGACGCGCACAGAAAGAGAGATATTCTCTACAAACACCGGGTGAGCAATGAACAATAATGGCCTGGATTAGGCAGTAAAGACAATTTTGGTGTATCGCAGAGCGGACTGTTTAATTTTGTTTGTGTTGTTTGGCTGGAAAATTGTCAATATAATGGATCAATGCATGAAATCTGACTCTGTTTATTTTGTTTAAGGAGTATATTAGGCGTTAACAATTCTGGTTTGCCTTTTATAATATTATTTCATTCAAGAACCCCTTGTGCGTTTAATTAACACAGCTATTTTTGATAGTTGATCGTTACAGATGGCTACTGGCCATGCTACAGCAGTGAGCAGCAGAGGTCGGGAGAGGTGGGGCTATCATTATTTTTTCAGGAAATATTCGTATAGAGGCGATTACACGGACTCGTTTGACCCCCCAGAGAGTTTTGTTTGCAAATCTATCCACCTTGGGACCCGTTATCGTTTGTGGGGTCCGTTTCTATCGGCCTCGTGTAAATAATAGGGCTATACGCACGCGAAACTATGCAGATACAAGCCGTTTTGTCCTCGTGTAAACGGCGCCTTAGAGTACTGATATGTCTACCATTTCTTTTCTGAGTGTAATATCTGCATTTTCTCTTTTGAAAAACGAAGTCCTAGTTTGGCCACTCATTTTTAATCACACACGTCTCCCCATCCCATTCAAATTCAAATTCTTGACTGGAAGGGCAGTGTTGCCTACATGTAAATGAATGGCATTGCCTATATGCATTTGAAAATAAATAGTACCCCCCCTCTGAGTGACTATCTGTTGACTTCACATCTTGTCACAAACCAGGGGACTTTACTTCCTGATTTTTGGAATACAAAATCATTTATCTGTGTACGTGTTTTACTGAACGAGCATACTGTACTGTGATCTGCATGCACTTATCAAACATTTAATTAAAGTAGTGAAAACAAATAGTGAGGGGGTCCAAAATCAGCCTACGTGCTTTGTTTTTAATGTTCATCACTATAATAATAAGTACATTATTCAAAATGTACATTAACTTTGGATAATAACACGGGAGAAACGGATCCTCTCTTTTCCTCTCTCCCTCTCTCTCTCTCCTGACAGCCCGTCAGTTTCTCATGCAGCTCGCCAAACAGTGGGCGGAAATAATAATAATATTAATTATTTCACACAAAAAGGTTATGACTATATGACTATTGACGTACAAATAACACTGTCTGTCAATTGTGTAAAATAAGAGAATTAGATTACAACTTGTATTTAGAAATACTCTGTTGTAATTATTGATGCATAAATGTGTTCATCCATTCAATGTGGCATCTGCTATAATGGGGTTAATATATGATATTACTTAATAACACAATACACTATATAATGATATGATAATTACATTTGAATTTGATTCATTTCTTATTTCATAGTTTCTCATCATTATTATGAAAGTACCCATTGTTTTAAATAATGGTCGGAATGTGACCTGTGAGCCTTCTGAATTACCGTGGGATAGCACATTCTAAACTAAAATGTTCAATCAATAAAGTAACATCTTATCTTATCTTAATAATATCTTCATATTAATAATAATAATAAATCATACAGTATGTGTCCGAAAGGGAGCAGGAGGAAGCAAACACAAAAATACACAAAAAATATACTGCATATTAAAGCAAACGATTGTAAAGGTAAAAGTATGAGCATCAAATCAAATCAAATCAAGTTTTATTTATATAGCACATTTTTAAACGATTTTTGGTCGAGCCAAAGTGCTGTACATATAATAAAAATACCCTACAGTAAAGACACTTTACAGCAAATACAACAGCACAGTTTGTTCAGAATATCAGTATGAGAAAACGACACCCTCTGTCCTTAGACCCTCACATCGTACAAGGAAAAACTTCCAGAGAAAAACCCACATTTCAAAGGGAAACATGGGAGAAACCTCGGGGAGAGCAACAGAGGAGGGATCCCTCTCCCAGGATGGACAGAAGTGCAATAGATGCCGTGTGTAAATCGAAGAGATAATACATTTTACAGCGTAGGTAGACCGCATGACAAATAAAGAAGTGTAATGTAAACATTTACATTATTATTATGATTATTTAATATATAAAGACTATATATTATTGAATTACAAGATTAGATATACTTTATCTAAAATATTGATGTGTTCAAATGCTCTTCTAAACAAAACTGAAAGTCCATGAAAAGTTGTCTTTCTGTATTTGTGAATGAAGCGCCATCTCCTGGTTAAATCCTGAAATTGAAAATCTGGCAACGCCCTCTTGGAAAATAGTGGGAGGGCTTAACATTCCCAGATGCTGGTCTTAGGCAGGTCTTAGACAGGTAGCTGGCAGGAAGCTGTAAGCTGGAGTCTGAAATAAGCTGCTACATCTGTATAGTTGGCCATAACCTCAGGATCAAGGTTAGATTTTTTAATGAGAGGTTTAATTACAACTTCCTTAAATGACTGTGGTGCATTGCCTTACAATAATGACATATTTAAGGAATTTTATTATAGATGTGCTAATTAGGGGTAGCATTTCTTTAAACAGCTTGGATGGAATTGGGTCTAAGACACAGGTAACAGTTTAGAAGAAGAAATAATTGAAGTTAGTTGGTTAAGGTCTATTGGGAAAAAGCAGTAGTGTGACATTTTTTGACATAATATATTTAATTAAAGTCAATGTTTCAGTTTTTTCAGTGCGCGTTTTCTCACTTTCATTTTTACTCTGACCTGTTTTCTACTTCCTGTTTGTGCTTGCCCACGACGCCCTGGGTTTCCTGTGCTGTTGTCAGTGGTTACCGGCGGTCCGTTGCCTAGTGATCATGAGTACGAGCTTCATGAGGTTCGATTCCACTGGGGCAAAGAGAACCAGAGAGGATCCGAACACACTGTCAACTTCAAGGCTTTCCCTATGGAGGTACACACACACACACACACACACACACACACACACACACACACACACACACACACACACACACACACACACACACACACACACACACACACACACACACACACACACACACACACACACACTGAGACTTCTGGCATTGACATTCGTCCTTCAAATAACATAGTGTTATCATTGAAGAGTCCTTGAACAGACCGTGTTTAATGTTCTCTAACAAGTAACACTTCTAACATCCGTGTCTCTGTGAGTTTGTGTGTGTGTGGGAACCTTTATATTTGGTTGCGCCAATCCATATGTCTGTAAACAATAAAGAGGAAATTATATGCCATTATCCTGGATGTAGGTTTTGTCCGATGCCTTGCTCAAAGGAGGTGAACTGGGACCTCTCCAAGTACCAGTCAACACTCCATATTTAGGTCTGTACCAAGGCCTTTAGACTCAAAGCAAAGTCTTTAATAAACAGAAGATAGCCCAGTACACCATCATATTGCCCCAAATACTCGATAGAGCACCAAAGGTGTTAATGAAAGTAGTACCCAATAAATTCCCAATTTCCTCTATTTTGCATAATGTTTCCTAAAAACGACGTTGACCAATTGTTTTAAATAATGATTCAATTTGTTCTTAAACATATGTGTATATATTTGTCTATCACTCAAAAACACCAGATTATCCTTGTTAATTACACAACATTGATTGGTTTAAATTGTGTACAATGCTTTTGTATTTTTCCCCTTCGATTCGGAGAAACAAGTATTTTTTCGGAGTTTAGGATTGCCGAAGACACTACACTACCCAGAATCCTCAGCTATCGTTCCGCTTTGCGTGACAAACCCCGTGATTAGTCCTCAAGCTCTGTGATTGGTTGACCTCCAACTGCATTCCATATGAAAAAAAACGTTTTGTAAAAGATAAAATCATACTTTATTCAGCAGTGCTTGCTTTACTCTTTGAAAGTCATCACATGAATGCATTGTAATGAATGGTTCGGCTGCATTAAATATTACACATCTGTTGTAGTTCTTTATTTATCTACAGAGATCGGGCCTCAGAATAGACCGGAAACTATTCTTTTACCGTTCTGTTTTAATTTCACAATAAAGTTAGTAGTAATAATTTGTTTTGATATTATTGTTTTTTATTAACTACTAGACCGCTGGGTCATGTTAAGACCATCTTTTCTGTGTTGCTGTGAGTTTTTTACATCGCTTTTGTGTTACAAATATCAAAACAATAACAGAATATATCCGTCATAAACTAAACCGGAAACAGCAGTATATTTTATTTTGTTAACACTGTAAACTTGACAGCTTTTTAACCCAAACCACCTACTGGTTAAAGCACGTTATTACACGTTTAGAGTAATTGCAATGCAGGTAGATTGTGTTGCTTTTGAATGACTGTTTTAAAATGTTTTTTTCTTAATGTCTTTCATTTTTGTAAAGCACTTTGAATTGCCTTGTGTTGAAAGGTGCTGTATAAATAAATGTGCCTTGCCTTGCCTAAGGTCTGTTCTATAGGCGGAAAGTAGAAGGTCAATGATAGAAATATAGAATAGAAAATATCAAGAAGATACTGTAGTGATCTCTTCAAGAAAACAATTTAGTGCAGGACGTCCAAAGATATTAATAGGAGGATGTGCAAAACAGACTAATTAGGCTTTATTAAAACATTAAATAATACTTTAGGTTAAGGTCTTCTTTTAAATACATGTAAGCATAAAGCTTTGGGGGTATCTACAGATAAATATTAAGTCTGACAAAGTACTAATATATTGCATGGTTTGTTTTGGGACTTGACAATCAACTTTCCTGCAATGTTAACTATGTTGAAGCACTTATTTTAACCGATATTATACATATTTATTATACTCTTATAAGATGTATGTAGATAGTATAAGAAATGTGCAGAATATGACAGTTTAATGGTGGAGGTACACAGATATCGATAGATGTCTTGTAATGCACTGTTGAGGAACCTGCGACCCAAGTATTTAATTCATTGCATAACTACACCGTAGTTGTGTATATGATATGTCAATAAACCTTAGAAAATCTTGAAATCTTGAAAGGGATGTGCAAAATAGCCATTATATACAGTCTTTAATGAACGATTGGAGAATAACGAGTAATGAATATACTTTATAGGGATCTGCAGATACATTTTTAGTCTTCTCAAGCACCCACTACCAAATATCTCGCCTGATTGTTGGCACTTGACAATCACCTTCCCTGAATTTTACTCAGGTGTAACTAAAGTCTGATTTAAGCGTTGTTTATATTTCACATCATTAATCCAAATCTGTAAAGTAACTAAAATAAATGTAGTGGAGTAAAAATACCAGGTTAACCTTAAAGAAAGCCCTCAGGATTATAAAAGACCCCCATCACCCCAGCCACAAACTGTTCTGTCTGCTGCCGTCTGGCAGGCGGTACGGCAGCATCCGGACTAAAACCACCAGACTCAGGGACAGCTTCATCCCACAGGCCAGAAGACTATTAAACACCTGAACTGAAACAACATCCATAACATTCATCTGGCTGCTACTTAGAAATTATTTATCTAATATATCATATTCCAATCACTTGTATATAGACTCTTATTGCACTATTTCACTATTTCACTATTTACTATTTTACTATTTTTCTTTTTGTATTTACTTGCACTATTCTTTCTGTGTATCTGTTTTATTGTGTTGCACTCTTGGAGCAGCCTGTGACCCAAAGGAGGGGGGTGGGTGGTAGGACACATTCGAGTCCTGTTTTGGATAGTGTGCCGTCGATGGGTTTCATTCCATGTCAAAGTGCTTTTTGACACTCGGTGTGAACTTCGCGCACTGCCACTCCAACATCCAATCACAGAGCTTGAGGACTAATCACGGGGTTTGTCAAACAAAGCACATGGTGTAGTCCCAAATGATAGCTGAGGATTCTGGGTAGTGTAGTGTCTTCTGCCACCCTAAACTCCGAAAAAATATTTGTTTCTCCGAATCAAAGGGGAAAAATACAAAAGCATTGTACACAATTTAAACCAATCAATGTTGTGTAATTAACAAGGATAATCTGGTGTTTTTGAGTTGATGAGTAGTGCAGATATCACTGTAAAATCAATCGACAGTAAGGAGAATACTTACTTCCGGGTGTAAAATCCTCTGTTATCCAATGGGAATGGACGCTCACATTGCCTTTAACTGCCTCCGACATGGACCGATGCAGTGCTTCCCTGAGCGTCAAATACCGCCGCCGATGGGAATACATTGCAATCAGTTGAAAGCGCTTTGCGTCCGTTTATGAAGCTGAAGGAGACTCGGCGCGTCACAACTGCACGCCAAAGGACCCTGACCAAGCGTCGCTATTGGACGATCAGGGAGTGAGACTGTGTTGCCCACGCACATACACAGTGTACCCGCGACAGTTACAATGAAGGCTCGATAATCAGCTCACGGCATATAGGTGTAAGCAGGGGTAAAGTGCTATTTCTATAGGGGGCATGCTCCCCCGGGAAGATTTGTTTTTTAAATATTGAAGTTAAAAGCATCAATCTGGTGCACTTTGAGAGCAACATGAAGAGATCTATGGATACATCTCTCAACACCCATTTGAAACAGAACTGTAAACAGATTTATTATTTCTTTATGGATATTTTACAAATCACTTCCTTTTAAACTTATTCTTGTTTTACTGTCATATAGTATTTCATACCTGTTTTTCATTTATTCTCTTATTTTGTTATAACTATAATGATCATATAAACGTGTGCCTCGAAAATAATTGTTAATAATCGTGACCAAACCGTTTGAGACCCACTGAGATAACTTAGACCAGGGGTCGGCAACCCCTGGCACCGTAACCAGTGGCATGCGGCACCGTAACCAGTGGCACACAAGGAATAAGTGGAATAAGTGTGCAAAATATTTAAATTTTATTTTCGGATCCTGACCGAGACCGCCGCCAGAGCGCGTCTCCCCGTTACCTGCAGAAGGAAGCCATGCACGCAACGCAGCCCCGCTCTCTTTAACTCCAGGCAACTTTCTGCCACTTTCCTCCGTAGTGCAGTGCTGATCGTTTCACCATGGAGGAAAGCACTTTACAAATTGCAGTACCCATAAGGAGCTGCACAAATACTGCAGTTTTTGCGTGGCTGTGTCTCAGCGACGTGCAGTCAGGGGAGGCAGAGCCTCACCTGTCATACTCCAATGTAACGGAAAAACAACTAAAGAAAAACTAAATAGTAATAATAATAAAATGTCTCCACTGATCTGTCTTGTAAGTGTGATTTATGTATGATTCCAATCGCTTTTTATAGTCAAAATCAGCAAATTTGCCGAGCTTCGCTACGGGAGCGATGAGAAGTGAGGCAGGGACGTGCTCTGCCTCTCGTAAGCCCACAGTAACTTGCTGGAGCACGGGCACTAATTTAGCGCGGGCACTTATTTTGTGAGTGCGCTCAAGCCATTTACTGTGGGGTAAGGTGAGGCACAGATGAGATCTGCCTCACCTCAGAATGCATCACCCCACAGAAACTGGCTGGAAAGCTGGCACTAAGCGCATGCCTGTTACCATCTCACTGTATGTCACCAATGTAATGTTTGTAGATCCCTTTATTACATTTATCCTCGCCATCCATAGTCTCTAAATAACTTATTTCATGTATATATGATATTTAGGCTCGCTGGTCTCATCATACAACGGCAATGAAAAAAGCACCAGGGGAGGCAGCCATAACCTCTGCCGCACTGAAGGGGGCGCACGTGAGCCCACAGGTTCTTGTTGCTACTGTAATTCTACGCAGAGACGGTAGACGCAAACAACAAACTAGACTTTTGAAACTACAGGAAGATAAGGAGGACTTTTACAAAAAAGTAATGGAGATTGTTGTCCAGAAGGATAGCATGGACTTCATCTTCAAGTCAAGGTAAGACCACAACTGTAATGAAAATGGGATCTTACTAAGAAAGAACAATCCAATATTTAGATTTTGGGTATCCTTTTGTTGAACGGTCTGTTTAAAATGAATCGAAGCATCAGACTAAAAAAGCTTTTGAAAATAACCGAATATTTCGATTAAGGTCAAAATATAATATTTGTAAATCTGACTCAGTGAGTCAGTGCCTCACCAGCCATGAACCTCACCGCACGTCACTGCTGTGTCTTTAGTTGAAAGCCCAGTGGCGATCTGCTCATCTCTCATCGAAATAACATGCTACACAGGGGCGGACTGGCCATGTGTGTTCTGGAGAATCACAGAACGGACGATCGTCCATATTATTATGCCATTTAAATCAATTATTTAAATTTGTTTGTTAAATTCGGCATCATGTAAGTTAGGGATGCTCCGATCGATCGGCCGCCGATCGATATCGGCCGATACTCACTCTCTGCCGATCGATCGGTGCTCTCTAAAAATGCCGATCGCGAGAGCCGATCGCATGACGTAAATTACATGACACTTTTCTCTGTGCGCGGCAAAACAAGCTCGCCAAAATGGCTTCACCAGTCTGGCAGTATTTTAAGGTGTCCGAAAAAGACAGTAAAATAGCGGTATGCAACGTGTGTCAAGCAGAAATCCTGCAGCTCCGGTGAGCGGAGCAAAACACACAAGAGTTAGACCTAACACACTTAGCTATTTTATCTACCTCTGGAACAAGCTAAACTAGATATACATATATTTATTCTTCACTGTCGGGTCACGCATTACTGGATCAGTGAGCTGCATGAGATACTGACAGGCCGTCAGGGGAGAGAGAGAGGGGGAGAGAGGAGAGAGAGAGGGGGAGAGAGGAAAAGAGAGCGCTTCCGCTCATTTCTCCCGTGTTATTATCCAAAGTTAATGTAAACTTGAATAATGTACTTCATTTGAATGTAATAATTATGTTGGTTGTTGTTTGTGGAAGCGCCAGTGAATGAGCCCCATTAACTGAGTTGTAAACATCACTTTAAATGGAAGATCCCCATAGGCCCCGCCCACTCGATCGGTATCGGCCGATACTGATTCCGGCGATCGGCCCCAAAATTGGCGATCGGAGCATCCCTAATGTAAGATGCGCTGACAGGTCCACACACTGCTTCCCGGCAGTGAGGATCCCCCCGCTCCCTCCTGTTGACAGTTCACGAGCGTCAAGCTCTTCATCCCCCCCCCCCCTCGGCACGCTGATAAAATAAAAATGTTTTAATGGCACTTCATATCAAAAAGGTTGCAGACCCCTGACTTAGACTAAAGTTATCTAAACACTCAGAGAGTCCTTTAGTTCACTGAGCCTCTCAGTCTGACAGGAGAGGACTCTCCTCCACCTTGTTGTGGAAAAAGCTCCTTATGTCCGTTAGCGTAGCTCGCTAGCACCAGAAGCTAACAACAACGATCTCCAGTACCGGTGCGCTCTCTCTCTCTGTCTCTCGCTCGCACACAAAATGGCTCGTTCCACACACACACAGAGCCGGGCTTGAATGAAACACAGAGACCCAGACGTACTTGTACTGTACTGTATCATATTATTTTCGAATCAATAATTATTTTCTTTTTTTTTCATAACCATTTTTCCTCCTGGTCTCTCACGCCCCACAGAGAGACCTCACAGGGGCCCCCACTTTGAGAAACACTGAACTAACCTAATACAGTTATGTGTAATTTGTTGACAAATTACAGTTAATTAAAGTCAACGTATCAGTTAGTAGACACCCCCTCTCCCCCCGCAGACAGCCCTGACAAAGCCACAGATTTAACACATCTACCTCACAGCTCCTTAGGGTTCCACTTCCTGTACAGATACAGCAGATATAAACTTAAATATTCCTTAAACGTTGAAGTGTTGACCTCTGTTATCAAGATAGCTTTTGAACTCTTTTGAAAACCACACATTTATTGCTCAATAAGAAACATGATAAAAAACAACGTATAATGAGGCTGACAGCTCAGATATCCCTGTGCTTTTATTAATTAAAGTAAATTAATTATCTCACTGTTTCGTTCCATTAAGATAAATACGACAGCTTTTGAGCTGACAAATGACCGATCTGTGGACTGGGATATTCAGTGTTTCAGGGCAGAAGTTAGCACTACTTTTTCTCTTATGAGGTTGACATAAGAGCCCTCAGTCAGCCCCAGCTGATGCTGCCTCACTTCTGTTCTCTACATCTGTTCACAACGGCCTCTCTTGTGCGTCTGTGTGTGTGTGTGTGTGTGTGTGTGTGTGTGTGTGTGTGTGTGTGTGTGTGTGTGTGTGTGTGTGTGTGTGTGTGTGTGTGTGTGTGTGTGTGTGTGTGTGTGTGTGTGTGTGGTGTGTGTGTGTGTGTGTGTGTGTGTGTGTGTGTGTGTGTGTGTGTGTGTGTGTGTGCAGCTCCATCTGATTCACTGGAACAGCACTCTGTTCAACTCTCTGGAGGATGCTCTTGGGAAGAAGAATGGAGTCGTCATCATAGCTCTGTTTGTGCAGGTAATGTTTCACATCAAGGATCAGAGGAGATATCCCCATTGTACGGAGGCCGACAAGGGCAAACACGCTACAGCGGCCCGAGTCGAGAAACACTGTTACACTTCCAAAAATGCGGCAAAAAAAAAAAATCTGCATAAACGAATCACTGCAAATAAAAAAAGCTGCACGTAAAAAAAGAATTGTATGCATTTATTTTATGTAAACTCTGGGCATGTGTTATCGAAGATGTTTCTTCATTTGCATTGTTTTTGATAGTGTAGCTCGTTTGTCCTAATGAAGGTTCTTTAGGCCGTTGTAACGCGTTTGCACCAAGCGGCAAACTCTGGGGTAGAGCCGGGAGGCCAATAAGGAAGTGCCTCAAACTGCAGTTCATCTAGTGGCCAGTAGGAGCAGTCTGCAGAAGGGAGTAATTTCCATAGACCCCCATGTTAAAATGACCAACTTTACAGCAGAAATAAACATGTTTACATCGTGGTTCAAAAAAGGTGACCCCTCTCTTACAACCAGCTTCCTCTATACTTGGCTTTACCTACTTATATCTATTCTGTCATTATCACCAGCTCTAGCATGAAGAAGATCTTACAGATTGAACGTTTGAATGCCATAAAGACAAACAGATGTATTGATTTGGGGCTTTACAGTGTGCAGACTCCCATAACAACATAATCTAACAGTTTATTTGTCCTTCTGATATTTCATCAATAAGGGTAGAATAAATATGACAGTACAACATATTTTAATTAACAGCCTTAAAAAGCATCTGAGTTAATCAACTGCTATAAAGTGCTTCAACAAAAACTGAACGCTACACCTACAGCTTCAGCCAATAAATAAACTCAGAGTAAATGTTAGGAGCAGTGTGTGTGTGGTTTTTGGTGAAACGATTTTGAATAATTTGAAAGTATTGGCGCTGCATTTGACCTTGCATAGCCCTCAGTTACACAAATATTGACTCCTTTGGCACGTCGGTGCCCTTAACGTGTTTTTCCTTCCTAGGATTGTGAGGGTTGTTTTTCTAAATGACTTAACAGCTTCATCCAGAATTGTTGGAAAACACCATGTGCTGAAATTCCTTTGAAACTCTGGCTTGACTTCCCTATTAAAATCCCCTGCTAAAAAAACTGGTGGTAACATTTCCCCCACTTTAATATAACCAAAAACTTCACTTTGAGAGATATCTGCATTAAAAAACTGAAACGTTGACGTTAATCAACTTTATTTTGTCAACAAATTACATATTAGGTTTGTAGAAAGCAATAATATTAAGTTTAATCTAATATTTTTTATTTAAACGTATTATTATTGCTTTCAACTAACCTAATACAGTTATGTGTATTTTGTTGACAAATTACAGTTAATTAAAGTCAACGTTTCAGTTAGTAGACACCCCCTCTCCCCCCGCAGACAGCCCTGACCCCCCAAAGCCACAGATTTAACACATCTACCTCACAGCTCCTTAGGGTTCCATTTCCTGTTTACTTCCTGTACGGATACAGCAGATATAAACTTAAATCTTCCTTGAACTTTGAAGTCTTTACCTCTGTTATTGTCATCTTCAGAAGGCACATTGATAAGTCTCAGGCCTCTGAACCCTCACATGTTGTTCCATCAGATCGGTAAGGAGCACCTGGGTCTGAAGGCCATCACCGAGGTTCTGCAGGACCTGCAGTACAAGGTGAGCAGGGGTCTCATCACATCATCAGATCAGATGATTAATAATCACTTCACCAACTATGCATTCATAAAATCATTCTGTTGTTACCATCAGGGGAAGAGCAAGATCATCCCCTGCTTCAACCCCAACACTCTGTTACCTGGTGAGCAGAAACACACCTGATTTCAAAGTATAATCAATATATTAGACATTCTGAAAGAATAACATATTATAATATAGCTATAGTTGAAGCCTGCTGGATCACCATCATTCTGTCCGCTCTTTCATTCTTTATGCCAGATTACACTGTATTACTAGTGTTATCAGTTCAAGTGAGAGGAAAGATTGCAACCCTCTGTGACTCTTATGTCCATAATGTGCTATAAACGTACTGATAATGAGCCGCAATAAGCTCTGTGTCCTGTGAAACTTTGCTTATACTGTAGGCATTTCTAAATATTCATCACACATTGTAAAACATTTTATAATGACTTTATAGGTATTATATTACATCATAATCACTGCTCATTTACTAAAGATGTTTTTGCAAGGATCTTAATGTTTTTATAATTGTAATGGTTGTGAAACATTACAATGGGATGATAAGTAAATCTAGTGGTCATTGTTTAAATTAAGTAAAGTTAAAATAATAATAAAAGAACAACACATAAAACACTGCAAAACATTTTATTTTACTCTAAAAAAACCTTTAATCACATTATAGACTATTGGACTTATTATAGACTATGATAATTGCAAAATAATGCCCAGCAATAGTGAAATATTACAACATAACAATATAATTATCCATTATAAAATACTTTGCAATTATGGGTAAAAATGATTGGCTTTTTGAACCCAGATAGGAATCTGTTTATCAAACTCTTTCGAATCCCTTACTGAATCTTTTGGTGAAAACATGATGTTTTTATTAAGCAGCAGCAAAGCTCAGATATAACTGTCCTGACTCATCTCAATCTAAAGTATCAGACTCAAACATGAACAGATAAATACATATTGAAGCAGGACTCAGGTTCCTCCCTGTGCGTGAGATCCTTCCTGCAAATATTGCATTTGGCTCTTGTTTGGTTGACCTTGTGGAGCGTTTGAGTTCAGTCAGTCAGTGTTGACAGATGTGTGGCTCAGTTACACCTCTATTATACGTCACCAGTTTGTTTAACTTTGCATACGCAGAAACAGGACAGACAGACGATCAGAGAGAGCTCACACATGGTCTAATCATGGTTTGTTTGGCTGCAGAGCCTAATGAATCTGCTATTACCAACCTGGCCTAATTTAAGAAAATGGACCATCAGAATCCCCTAGGATGATATAATATAAAAAGTATGCAGTGAAGCACCCACTCTACCAGCCTTTGACATGGACCATCTGATCAGTGTGCATATGTAAGATTATCTCCTCACTTCAGGAACGGTGATTATTTAGTACAATGAGAGTAAATGCTGCTTTGGACATCTATACATAAATATGTATTTGAAATGTATTGTTATGTTCCTAAACAATTTGAACAAAATCAAGAATAACATGTTTTCTTTACAAGGACACAATATACTTTTTGAACATGAACTAGAACTCTCCAGTTCCTCCACACTGCTGGCATCACCGCTTCTCTTTGGCAGCCATGTTTTCTTATACCTGCCTGTTTCTATGGGCAGCTTTCACTGACACGCTTTGAATCCTCCCTCAGACCCTTTGCTGAGAGACTACTGGGTGTATGAAGGATCTCTGACCACTCCACCCTGTAGTGAAAATGTGACCTGGATCCTCTACCGCTACCCCCTCACCATCTCCCAGCTACAGGTAAGGCCTTGTGTGTGCTGTCAGTCTGAAGACTTCAGTCTGAAACATGAAGAAATAAGTATGGAGTCAGAAAGTTTACCAGACTGCTGTAGACCACTTCTCTCAGCTGGAGGCTAAATGGACATCTATTAGCTGCTACCAGCATGACACCCACAACTCCACCAGAACTGTTGTTGGTAGGGTTGCATTGTGGGTAATGCGAGTGCCAGGTTATCACAAGATAGTATGGTTTCAAAAATACATAGTTCTAAAAGCATCGAAATGTATATTTTTCTTTTAAATCATCAATGGTCAAGCATCATTGATTCACACCTGTCGTTCGGTTCATTTGATCATTTTATCAAGACAAGGAAAACAATGGTTGCATGTTAATTCTGGATCTGGAGTTTTATAAACCCACCAGGAGTACACATGAAGCTATTCAGAATAGGTTATGCAGCACTTTAAAGAGTCCTCTCCTGCTGATGTTCAGGTGTATATCAGTATGTAGTGTCTCTACTTTAAAGAGTCCTCTCCTGCTGATGTTCAGGTGTATATCAGTATGTAGTGTCTCTACTTTAAAGAGTCCTCTCCTGCTGATGTTCAGGTGTATATCAGTATGTAGTGTCTCTACTTTAAAGAGTCCTCTCCTGCTGATGTTCAGGTGTATATCAGTATGTAGTGTCTCTACTTTAAAGAGTCCTCTCCTGCTGATGTTCAGGTGTATATCAGTATGTAGTGTCTCTACTTTAAAGAGTCCTCTCCTGCTGATGTTCAGGTGTATATCAGTATGTAGTGTCTCTACTTTAAAGAGTCCTCTCCTGCTGATGTTCAGGTGTATATCAGTATGTAGTGTCTCTACTTTAAAGAGTCCTCTCCTGCTGATGTTCAGGTGTATATCAGTATGTAGTGTCTCTACTTTAAAGAGTCCTCTCCTGCTGATGTTCAGGTGTATATCAGTATGTAGTGTCTCTACTTTAAAGAGTCCTCTCCTGCTGATGTTCAGGTGTATATCAGTATGTAGTGTCTCTACTTTAAAGAGTCCTCTCCTGCTGATGTTCAGGTGTATATCAGTATGTAGTGTCTCTACTTTAAAGAGTCCTCTCCTGATGATGTTCAGGTGTATATCAGTATGTAGTGTCTCTACTTTAAAGAGTCCTCTCCTGCTGATGTTCAGGTGTATATCAGTATGTAGTGTCTCTACTTTAAAGAGTCCTCTCCTGCTGATGTTCAGGTGTATATCAGTATGTAGTGTCTCTACTTTAAAGAGTCCTCTCCTGCTGATGTTCAGGTGTATATCAGTATGTAGTGTCTCTACATGTCTCCATGCTTTAATGTTCAAAAAGCTCTTTATCTCTCATACTGCCTGTGCTGCAGCACCTCTTTTCACCCTCTGTCTGAAACCAGAGCCCAGTCTGCTCTGATTGGTTAACTGGCCGACTCCATTGTGATCAAATATATTCCTGTCAGCACCTGTGTTACACTGAAAAGACTGAACCGTTGACTTTAATTAAATGCATTATGTCAAAAATGTCACAAAAAGTTAGTTGAAAACAATCATATTAAGTTGAACCTCTTTAAACTTAATATTATTGCTTTCAACTAACATCCAAGACTAGTGACCAATCACAACAGAGTCGGCCAGCTAACCAATCAGAGCAGACTGGGCTATGGTTTCAGACAGAGGGTGAAAAGAGGTGCTTGAAACCACTGTTCTCTCTCTTCCTGCATCACATCAAAGGTATAGATCAAATCAGAGCCTAGCAGGCTTTCATACCACACAGATCCAATGAACCTGAGGATCTGTCCATTCAGTAGAGTACAGGAAACCTTTACACCCCCTGCCTGGCTGCCAGTGAGCTGTGGCCCCTGGCTGTGGCCCCTGGCTGTAACTCAGCCCCTGCCTGACTCTAGGCTGATGATGTTAATCCTCTGACATTTATTTCAGTCATTCAGCCTCCCTGCTGACCCTTTCAAATGCTAAAAGAAGAATGACCCCCCACCCCTGCCTCAGGCTATTTCCAAATTAAGGTGGATACCTTCAGAACCTTCACTATTTTGTGCAGGGACAATGCACATTGTGCAGCATCAGCATCAATGTTCACGTGCTGTCCCAGAGGATCTTGGTGGCCTGAAGCTGCTCCAGTGTTCTCTAAACCAGGGGTTTTCAAAGTGTGGGAAGGTGAGCCTCCCCTCAGAGAACATAAGAACAGCCGCGCCCCTCCTCCCAATTATTATTGCTATTATTATTATTAGGGATGCTCCGAGCGCCAATTTTGGGGCCGATCGCCGATCCGATCAAGTGGGCGGGGCCTATGGGGATCTTCCATTTAAAGTGATGTTTAAAACTCAGTTAATGGGGCTCATTCACTGGCGCTTCCACAAACAACAACCAACATAATTATTACATTCAAATGAAGTACATTATTCAAGTTTACATTAACTTTGGATAATAACACTTAACTTTGGAGCTGTGACGTCATCTTCAATGCGAACCACAGGAAAAACAACATCAGCCGTTAGCTGTTAGCACTCACAGCTCACAGCTCCTCATATATGTTCAGAAACTAGACAAAAGTTAAACAAGTACAAACCACAGACTGTCTGTGTCATGGCGAATACAGTCGCTGGTTTATTTATGTCTGTATAGGCCGTTGTTGTGAGTGTGGACAGTCGGAGCATATACTAATAATAATAATAAATTCTATTTATATAGCGCTTTTCTAAGACCCAAAGACGCTTTACATTTGGGGAAGGGTAGACAGACAAGGACAGGCAACAAAACAACAACAAAACAAAAACAAAACAGAGAAAAAAAAAAAAAACAGAAAGCTTATGGGTATACAGATATACTGCGTTAGCTTAGCCGATCTCCATTTAGAAAACACGCATTTTAAAAGGTTTTTCGCCTGCCGTCTGTCTGCAGACTTGTCAAAGCATTAATTCATGGTTTTTACTAACCGGTATCAGTATGTTGTTACTTCGGCATCCTTTTGAAACGTGTATTACAATTAAATCACGGTCAAATATGTTCATCTTGTTGTAGTTGTAGCCCCCTTGCCAGCGATTCTCTCTCTCGTTTAGCATACTCAGCCCGACTCAGCCTGGTTGTTGGCCCGGAAAGAACCTCGATTTTATGGGGCCAGAAAAACTGTGAAATAGTACCCGCTAGCCGGAACTACGCCAAGTGGAAGCGCAACCAAAAACGGGCCGGGCACGGCACGGCACGGCACGCTTAAAGCGAGCCCCGCGCTGTAGTGGAAACGCGCCATTAGTGTGTGTTTTGCTCCGCTCACCGGTCCGTCACAGCGTGTGGAGCTGCAGGATTTCTGCTTCACACTCGTTGCATACCGCTATTCTATTGTCATTTTCGGACACCTTAAAATACTGCCAGACTGGTGAAGCCATTTTGGCGAGCTTGTTTTGCCGTGCACAGAGAAAAGTGTCATGTCATCCTTTTACGTCATGCGATCGGCTCTCGCGATCTGCATTTTTAGAGAGCACCGATCGATCGGTAGAGAGTGAGTATCGGCCGATAACGATCGGCGGCCGATCGATCGGAGCATCCCTAATTATTATTATTATTATTGTTGTTGTTGCTATAATGCAGGGGTATTATTATCCAGGGGAATTCTCTTACCTACTGGCCTAGTTAAATCAAAGTGGTTACTTTTTTTTGGCTGGGCAGTGTAGTTTTACACACCGTCTTATATGACTTTCTCAGGACTTAAAACAGTTTTTTGGGGGCAGACCCCCACAAACAAAAAAATATATTTAAACACGTAAGGTCATCATCTTAAAGGTCCCATGTCATGGCCATTTCTACTGATCATAATTCCATTGTTGAGGTCTACTAGCATAGATTTAAATTGTTCAATGTTCCAAACTCACATTGGTTTCTCATACAGCATCTCTGTATAGTATGTGTATTCACTCTCTGTCCTACACGCCTTGTTGGAGCTCCTGCCCCCCCCCCTCCCTATGAGCCCTCTGTGCTCTGATGTGTGATTAGGTGTTACAATGTCGTTTGTTAGCAACCAGAAAATGACACCAGTAATGACAAACAGATGAGAATGCTGCGTGGGGTCTGGGTGCCGTGTTGGCGGGACGTTGCGGGGCTCGCTGCTGCGAGGAGCGGACAGTGTAAGCTGGATTACTGGTGTGGTTTCCTGGCTGCTGCGTGGGGTCTGAGGGGATCTTCCATTTAAAGTGATGTTTAAAACTCAGTTAATGGGGCTCATTTTTATATTGCTTCAGTTTATAATCGTAACGGATCGAAAAGTTCAGATACATTTTTCAATACATGATGCACTTCCACAAACAACAAACAACATAATTATTACATTCAAATGAAGTACATTATTCAAGTTTACATTAACTTTGGATAATAACACGGGAGAAATGAGCGGAAGCGCTCTCTTTTCCTCTCTCCCTCCCTCTCTCTCCTGACAGCCTGTCAGTATCGTCTCATGCAGCTCGCTGATCCAGTAATGAGTGACCCGACAGTGAAGAATAAACACATTTATAACTAGTTTAGGTTGTTCCAGGGGTAGGCCTTTATAGAGAGCACCGATCACACTAAGAGTGAATATCGGCCGTTAACGATCGGCGGCCGATCGATTGGGGCATCCCTAATTATTAATGTGAGTCTTTTATTTAGCCACACTGATTCAACTTAAACAGGACATGTGCTACACCCATGGATGAAGGGGAAATGAAACTCACAGAAGAATAAATTACGATTACTATATTGCGTGTATTTAAGAGCCATTTGAAATATTACCACCTTGGTTTAAGCCAGTGGTTCTCAAACTTTTTCTGTCATTCCCCACTTTGAACAGGTGGGCCTTTTCAAGCCCCACCTGTTCCTCATCGCTCCAATAAAATGGTAGGCCAAGCTTAAAATTATTAAATGTATCGTTCTATAACAGGGGTCTCCAACCTTTTTTAGGATGAGAGCTACTTTCAAAAAATAAAACAAGTCGTGAGCTACTTTTACTCCTCTTTTTTTTGTTTGCAGT